AAATAAAAAAATCGACCTTAATGCTCAAGCAGCAGTTTTAGATTACTCAGAGGACGCCTGGTTTGAAACCCCTGGAAAGGAGATCTCATTAAATCGCAATCACAATCGGAGCTCTGGAATCGAGTTGGACATTTGTTCCGTTTCGAGGAAATAACTACAGGGATGTGGCAGGTTTTGTTCCGGATGTCTACTCATTACTCACTTTGAGGAGCAAGCCGGCTGCACTTGTTGTGTATCAGGCAGGCATAAACATAAACCCTCTCCCAGTGCAATCTCGTTCTCTCTTCCTCTCGCGCACACACACACACAGGCGGCTCAGAGAGGTGTGTGGGGCAGGTCATCTGTCAAACAGCGCTGCTAAGCTTTACTGCCGCGCTCTTGTCCTAATGAACCCAGAGGGCTGTGCAGCCCCATGCTGGAGTCTCTTCTCTCCCCAATTAAATAAGGAGTGTATACAATCAAATCTAGACCACTCATCCATCATAGCCCGTACACTGAGGATTTTATTCCCAGTTGTTAGCATAATGAATTTACATGAGCTGATAATGTAGACAAGTATTCAGTCAATTGCCACAGCAGTAGACTCCAATCAATATGTGCTTAATGGCGGGGCAGTGTGGAGATGGCAGGGCTCCTGGCCCGGGGCAGTTGGGGTGGGTGAGGCGAGGAAACCCACACAGTGCTGCCAGTCCACTGCGGTCAGACAGGCTGACCTTTTACAAAGCAGCCATGCTCTGTGTCCCCATACCAGTATGTGGGATGCTGGCCTGGTGTAGGTGCCCCAGTCTAATACAAGCTAAAGCCCGGGGGGGTGTATTGGGGTGTTTGTGTTTAAACGCACAGTGGCATACGCTGTAGCTGTTTGGAAATGAAGCTGGGTGCTTGTGGACAGGAGCCGCAGGGTCTGGGATCAGGACCCCAGTGCGAGGCGGGTCGTGTTGCCTCAAGCCCGCCAGCAGTGAGGTTCCGGTCCAGAAGGCTTGTGTTTTGAAAAGGGAGCAGGTGTTGTGTTCTTATTTTGTGGAAAGAATCTCCTTTTCAGTGAGTGCTTGAGAGAGGAGCCCGCATAACTTCCTTATTGTTTAATAAGCCAAGCCCATGACTGCTATTTCAGTGATTTCAGTGATACAGGCTTGTGCGAGACTCTTTACTCAGAGCGAAAGTGAAGGAAAGTGCTCACCACCGCATTCTGAGCACCAGTGCTTCCGTAATCAAACGGATTCTTTGCTTGTTCTATATCACGTTTGGTTATTCATGCAGTGATTGGAAAAATGTTGCATTTCCACCTTTTGTGCAATTAGAATTAAATGTATCCTTTTAATTTATGGTCTTGTTAGTTAGACTGTCAGCTCGTGACTGGATTCTTGTTACTTTTCGTTCATTTACGTGTAAGGTGAAGTGCATTGTGTGATCTGCTTATCAGGTTTGGTTACAGGTGAGAACGTGAGGAACCGGTTGGTGCAGCTCCTGATGCCAGTGCAGGTCCAGAGGCAGTGAGCCCTGTACTGTAGCCCTCACAGAGCCCAGTGTCCCATTATCTTCAGTGAGGGGAAGAGGGAGGCTGTGGTGCCAGATTCAGCCGGCTGCTCCACACTGACCTCATCTGGGAAGATCACAGTCAGCAGCAGGGGGTCTCCACCTACGGCTGCTTCTGTGTGCAATAACAGGGGAGCACTCGAGAGCCTGCAATGCCGGGACAGCATGAGCTGGCCAATACTCTGGATTCCCCCTGCAAAGGAGAAAGACTCCAGTCTAATTTCAGTCATGGAGTTGTGCTAATTATAGGCGGCTGGTAATTACAGTGTCGTGCATGCTGTTATTTATGGCACTTGTCCCCCAGCAGTGTGGAAATTCACTGGTCAGAGGTGTAGGGGGGTGGGGTGAGGGGTTATAATTAAACCCGTTGATCAAGTTTCCTGTGACATCATGGACAGAATTAGGATCATATGCTTGTCAGTATCTTTCCCAGCGCCCCCTCCGTAAACAAAAAGGGCTTGTGAAGAGCCGAGCCGCGCAGCTCCTGCAGAACTGTGCTTTATTGCCTTGTTAATCGTGCGGCCAGACGCACTGTGGGAACACATTCCTGCTGATCGCTGTCAGACGTCCATGGGCTCCATTCCTGCACGCGCAGCGGCGGGCCTTCTCCTGTCGGGCTCTCGGACTGTTGGCTCCCGTTTCCTCACTTACCCGAGCCACGGCCTCCCCTTCCCCGCCACCCGGACCAGAACCCGGAGCGCGGGGCCCCAGGGCTGCCTCTGGACCCGCTGGGCGCGGGGGCGTCTCTGTCTGGCCCTGCTGTCTCCTTCCTCGGCTGGAGTGGGTGTCGTCAGCTGGGCTCCAGCTGGTTTTTCCTTTCCCCGCCAGTGGGAGCTCAGCGTCCAGATGAACAGCCTCCGCCTGTCGCCAGTTTTGGCTGAGGACGCCGAATCAAGTAATGGAAAGAAAAATGTGGAACTTGGTTTGCAATTTCGTAGGTGCCAGAAATGAAACTGCCACAAACACTGAGGAAGTAGATGAACACTTTTGGGGTTTTTTCTCTGTTGGGCGCCTGAACGCCTCATTAGTAATGACCTCCGGGCAGGCTTTGGACTTATTTTGGTCTGTTTCATCACAGTTTTTGTTATATTGATAATTAGTTAATGAGTTATTGACAGCAAATGTCATTTAATCTCTTTCCCTTGTTTGTTCCTTCTGTGCTGCCAAAATGTCTTAATGGCCTGCTAATTTCAGCAGGGCTGTACCTGGCCTGGGCATCGTTGTGAAGTCTTGCCACCACTAGAGGGAGCTCTATAGGACTTAGTTCCCATTGAAACACATTGAAATACTGGGGGCTGCATTCAGCATGGAGAAAGGATTTCGAGAATAGAGAGCGCAAACAAAGATATTTTTGTTTTTCAGAGAAGTGTGGCTGACTTATTAAAAATAAAAAATGCTGCAGCCCTTAATAGTAAAATGCATATCATTTTATGTATTTTACAGGTGAGCTCATTACATGTCCTGTTTTGTGAGGCTGCCATGGAATGTGCTGTTGATCTGTATAAACCCTGTGGTGTGAATTATTCGTTTTGGAGGTGATGAAGGGGTGGCAGGGTGCTCCTATCTCCAGCCTGGTGGGCTCTGCCCCCTCCCCCCACCACTCTTCCTGCAGCGTTCCCTCAGTAGCACTCCCGGGTTCTTGTGAGAGTAAAAATGTTATACATTATGCGTCTCCTTTTTTTGCTTCAGCAGCAGAGCAGACAGGGGGGTCAGATGTCACCATTGGGGCTGTTGAAGGCCCGCTGAAAAGGGCCAGCAGTGCTCTGGCCCAGCAGTGTGCATGCCTCTGTTATCTCCCAGCGGCTGAGGAATTATAGGCTGAGAGGGGAAGGGGGGGAGGGGTCTGGGGGGGTCATGTGACATTGCAGCAGCTGCTAGGCCGAGAATGTCTGTTTTCAGTAGGCGAGAGAGTGAGAGGGAGAGAGAGATAGGCAGAGTGTGGTGTGTTGCTTTGTTAGATAAGCTCCAAACCGTCTTTGTGAGAAAAAAAAATGGTGTTTCCCTCAGCTTCCTTCAAGTGTTCAGCTCGGCGGAACATGCAGAGATGGGCGACAGAAACAGCTTCAGTCCTTTGTTGTTTAGTAAGAATTGTGGATTTTATCATTTTAAATGAAGGGGATTAAGGGTGGCACGATGTCTAGTTAGCCGTGTGGCTCTGTCAGTGTTTGTGTGGGTGGCCGCTGTGTGTGGTGGGTGGCAGTGTGTCTTCTGTTAGATTGTTAGTGCTGGGTTTCAGACAAAAAAAAGAAAAAGTTTGTTTAATGTTTCATGAGTCAACAGCAGTTTAGTTTTTTTTTGCAAATCAATAAAATGACATCATGGCAAACTTCTCAGGAGTTGAAATAAATTGTGTAAATGTATAGGACTTCAACTTGAAAGTGTTCTTGAGCCTGTGAATTAGATGGTAGGGGAAACTGCGGTCTTGCACTGTGATCAAGCCCAGAGAGAAAAATGTGATTGGTTTTACATAGTTAATAATCAAACAGAAAATACCTTGCGAATGTAGTGATTCTGTTTTTCTCTCATTTGTCATCGTTTTGGTAGCACTATGCTGAGCGAAGTAGCATAGCCTAAATATAATTTTAAAAACGTTGTCTTGTCCATTAAAATATTGTGATTCTTCTTCCAGTTCCTGTTTTAAAGTTTTAATCTCTGTGCAGTCAATGAAAAAATAGTTGGGTGTTTAAAAAATTAAGCAAAAAGCCTGGCTTATTTTTTTGGGAGGTTAGTCATCATCATTCTGAGGTTTTATATGCAGTGCGATTTGACCCCGTGACATGTGGATCCTACACTTTAATAGTCTTCAGTTCATTATCTCAGCTGGGCCTGTGTGTCTCTTAGGCTGGGATTCCTCTTCCACTGTTAGCGTGGTGTCTTTTATCCCTGTACCCACTGCTCAGCTCACCATGGGCAGTGTGTTGCCAGAGCATTTAAGACACGTGTGTCTAAAGCAGGACTCAATGTTTCCCGAAGCAGAGAGATTCCCTGCTTTTTTAATGTAAAAAAATGCACCCAAACACTGTACTCTGCCCTTCGGCGTGGCTGTTACAGGCTGATTAAACCCAAAAAATGCAGATGAATCAGATCAATGTGTGAATCATGCCTGATGACCAATAGAAAAGGGGTGGCATGGGTTGTGTGGAGGTGTTTTGTGCGAACTGCTGTTCGCGGGGAAGAACAAAGAGCCAGGGGATTTGAGTCAGATCACAGCCCGGCGATGGTGTGTTGTGCAACCCTGGACCCAGACACTTGACCTGCTGCAGCTCCTTCCCCTGCCCTCGCCGCAGGGCAGGAACCGCGGCTCCTCCAGGACAGAGGTTCACCGCACACATCCCAGCGGCGCTGGGGGAGGGCCGGGTGTGAGGCCAGAGTCGCTGGAACTCGCCCTCGCAGCCCCCGCCCTGAAAGTCACGCCGCGGCGGCCTTTTCACGAGTCTCCCTCTTCTCTGTCGCCTCTTTTCCAGGCATGAGCCATGAGCCGAAGTCGCCTTCCCTAGGAATGATCTCGACCGCCACTCGGACCACTGCCACCGTGAGCCCCCTCACCCCGTCGCCCCTCAACGGCTCCATCGTGCCCAATGGCAGCCCGGCCGCCAACAGCAGCCTGTCCGTGCAGTCCGCGCACTCCGGCTTCGCCGCCGCGCTGCGCAAGCTGGCCAAGCAAGCGGAGGAGCCCCGAGGTGAGCAGACCACTCCCGGCTCGGTTCCGCTGTGACACCCCCGGGGGTGAGGGAGAGCCACACTGTTATTGAATGATGTTTAACGGTAGAGAAACCAGTTTCCCTTCATTCTCAACTGTACGTTTACGGTAGGTGCACGCAGAGGAGCCATTGTTGAAGACAGAAATTCGGTTCCCTTCCCCCCCACCTGTCAGTTTCCATTGCTCTGTGCTGGTGAGAGTCGAACTGGTGTTGTTTCATTTCACAGACTTGGTTTTTATAAACAGCTCTAGGTTCTCTTTTCAGGGAAATAGAGTTAGTGGTACAATAAAAGTGTTCAAACCACAGGCAGATTTCCTCATTAATTACAGGAAGTTCTCCTTTTTTAAGTGTGAGTATTTGGCGTATACCAGAGAGCAAGCAGTCATGTTCTTTACCATTGATTTTAATGCGGAGCTGATTTAAGGCTGTGTGTCTCATAAATGCATAAGGTCAGATTTTGTCTCTCTTTTGAGACTGAAGTGGAGGAAAGAGGATGAAGGGAATATTGCTGATAGAGTGGACTTCATTCAGTCACTTATTACCATAGCAGACCTGTTGAGCTGCTATGATCTGTTGGCTCTGTTTGCTATAGTGAATGTAGTGTAATGGGGATCTGAAGTAGTGAGTGTAAGAAGTTGTGAGTCCTCTTTATAGGTTTTGTTAAAATGATAAGGACAATCATAACAACATCCTTCATACAGGTCAGTGCTGGTGGGATCCAATACTCTGTCAATACACCGGGGAGCAGGGTGAGCTGAAAAGAGCTGAAAAGAGCCGTATTTATACATAAGAAAATCTCCCTGACTAATTATGTCCTTAGTCTGGAAGTGCAGCTCTGGAATTCTGCGACAGCCTTGACTGAAGTCAGACACCGGGGAGTTTTTTCTGCAACAATCCTAACAATCTACGGAAAGACTGATTACCTTTCATTCTGAGCAGATAAGCTAAACCACTCCGTGTTAACAATAGCAAAAAAATATACGAGGAAAGAAATTGCTTTTAAAACGTAAAAATCTGTTGATTTCTCTTTATTTGTATGAGAATATTAGGTATCTTCATTTTACTTTGACCCTCCATCTATTATCTGAGTGAAATAAAGTACACATACTGAAAGGGAAATATAGGTGCACTATTCCACAAACACACATCTTCCTTAATGAGCTTCCTTTTTAAGACTTCGCCTTTGTTCTTGCCTTAATCCTGTTAAGTAATTAGAGCTGGCTTAAGGCTCTCTTTAAGTGCTCTTTCGTTCCCGAGCCTCTCAGAAGCCCGAGGAAGGGGGTCGGGGGTTTCGGCAGGTTCTGGTCGTGTGCAGCTGCAGCCGTCGGAAGAGGAGGCTGTGTGCTGTGTCGTGTGCAGACGAGGGATGCGCAGGAACAGTGATGCTATTCCAGACACTTCCCACATGGAGATATCCTGGGGGCATATTGAAGTACATTGTTCGCAGACAGATAAGCTGGCAGCTGTTCAGGCTCCGGGACCCAGCCGCGTGCTCGTGAGCCAGCCCCTCCGAGACTCCCTGCCTTCTGAGAGCGGGGTGCACCGTCAGACACCTAGCGAGCCACCCCTGAACCCCCAGTCTTAATCGTGCCGCCTGCGGACCGGAGATGCCCTTTTTTCCGCTGCAGGCTGGTTATTCTGAGCTGGCTCTGAGTCCCTCTGCAGCGGAGGGTACAGCGTGTGCCATCTGTGATTTATTGCACACGCAGCTCCGCTGATAACCATAGTTCCTCTTACTGCGAAATCTTAGAACAGGCAAGTGCGTAGAAAACTGGGAGCTTTTTTTCCATCAGGAAAGCACATCAGGCTTTTTAAAAATCTTACACATATCCTTAGAAAATGGGGAGTCGACGTGTACTCTGTGTCTCACCGTTTGTTTCATGTTGTTCTCAGAATGATTGCCGTGTTCCTCAGGTCCTTTGGGTTTCACTGGTTTGAAATAACTTCTGAATATAGGTTCTGAATGAATTCTTCAGTCCTGAGGAGTGTAGTTAAACAGCTCTGATGTGATTATTTCCTATCACCACACCTGCCAGTACTATATGGGATATGGTCATTCTGCTCTGGTCTGTGGCTGTTGTACCATCAGCACACCTGTATTCCAAAAAATGTATTTCGGAAGTTGAAGTGATGCATTTACCATAGCCAGCAAATAGTTTTATTTTTATTTCATTCCGCTTTAGCAATCTGAATGTGGGACGTTTCTGGTCGTTTTCTATTTTTATAGAACAGGCCCTTGTGCTGTCAGTGGGTGGTAAGTAAAAGCAGCCTGTGGAGGAAGACATTGTGTAATTAAGTCAATTTTGCTTTTTACATTTTTTTTTCAGATAGCTTTTTGACCCTTATTGAAAATACCGTAGGAACTCCGGGCAGGCAGTGAGTCATCTCGCTGACAGAACCACCAGGCTAGGAGCAGAGTCTGGAGTGCCCGTCTGTGCGGGCTCTCCGCCACTGTTTACAGGGCAGGAACAGCTGGCGTGTGGCGGAGAGACCCCGTCACTGTGTCAGGGCGCGGGGCTGCAGCAGCTTACCTGTCTGCTGCTGGGGTCAGAGATAACAGGACAGGCGGCCCGGCAGAGCTCCTGCTGTCTCGTGTTCCACCTTCTCTTTTCCAAAACTGTCCTCGTTGCGGGGTAGGGTTTGTTTTTAATTAGAGGTTATTAAAACGCACAGCGAATCCAAGAATCAAGTTTGTGGTTCGTGCAGCAAAGAAAAGAACCAAAGGTCCTGACCGACAGTCCCTGGTGAGTGGTGCTGAGTTCACGGAACCACTGAGATGTTCCGCACTGGGGTGGTTCTCCAGCATGAACTTGAGAAACACTGCCTGGTGTGGTGCAGCACTATTTGAGCTGGGGTGTGGAGTTAACCGGATGAGGGTGGTTTATTTTACAGAACTTAAATGAAAAGTATATCATTCACGAGTGTATGGGTGTTAAGAATGAGATTCTCGTTGCAGTATCTATTATATTTTAACCTAAGAATAAAATGTATTTGCACAGTGTGTATAAATGGACCCCAAGGGAACCAATTAAGGTATAAAAAACAGACCCAAAAAGTGAATCATACAGGCAAGCATGTATCGAAAACAGTTTAGTTGACCCTTTTAGTTTTCATACCGGATTGTAATTGATTTGAGGACAGTCAGTTCCCTTGGCCTTGGAATTAAAAAGTTAATCACATCTGCTCTGTTGTATCTGCATGACCAGCACCAGTGCTCTAGCTGGCTGAAGCCGTCTTTACTTCAGTGAATTAATGCTAAAAACTGAACTCCCCCTTTGAATGCCAAGCTGTGCGTCGGTATCTAATTAATTAGGCAGATCCATGAAGACAAAAGATTTTAAACCGCTCATCCATATCCCTCTTGATAACAGCTTGAACAAATGTTGCCTAGCAGTGCCTTGCTTTATGTAAAAAAAAATTAAGGATGCCTTCCTGTCCTGATGGAGGCCATATAAAAAAAGAATTAGAGGTCTGTGCCCTAGAGGAATATTGTCTTGTATGTCTAGAAGACAATTGGTAAAAAGGCCAAATGGGTCTGAACTTTCCATCTGTGATTTGGTGTCTCTGAGGAAGTGCCTGCCTCTTCCCTCCAGCTAGCCCTTCTCTGACCAACAGCCAGCACAACAACAGCTCCTTGCGCTGCACAGAGCCGGTCTCCCCCCACAGAAGATTAGAGGGGCTTTGTGCTGTGTTGCCAGTGCATGGCCAACAGCAGCATATGGAAGGAAGATTGTCAGAGCCGAGCTTTGCACACCAGGTGTGAAATGGGCTGTTTAATTAAGTGCTGATGTTGTTCTAATGCAGGCCAGGGGGGTGAGAGACAATCCGGCGTCTGCTGCCAGCGCAGTACAGTGTGTCAGGGGTGGCCCTAATGACATTACGGGTCAGCATGGGTGATCATGCATAGAGGAAACTGTGCGGTGTGCAGTAAATGGTGGGTCCCATTGAGGTGGCTGCAGTGCATTAATCATATTGGCATTATCTCACTGCAGAGACCGAGGGCAGCGTGCTGTACATTAAGGATTCTATTCTGTAGTTTTTAAGGAAGTTAAGCTTCCACGGAATGGGGGTGAGGCTCAGAAAGAAGGTGTGATCAACTTGTTAATGCTGTAAAGTTACAGTGTTAGGATAGTTTAAGCTGTGAGCATGGGCTGAACTTTGTTAGGCAGATTGTTAAGTGTTCAGGGTGCAGGTGTTCCCATGTTTTGTTTTGATGCAACAAGGTATTTGTTCAAAAGGTAGCCCAAAACTGAAGAAAGATTCGAAAAACCTTAAACTATTCTTTGCAGGTCTTAGTTGCATGCAGGAGAAATAACTGAAACGCACACACGTATGGATGTAATTGCCTTACAGAAAATAAGGCGACATGCGCGTGTACACACAAGCATACATTTCTACATACACACACCCTCCTCATTCAGCACAGCTTTCGAAGCCTGTTCCTGTGGCCAGCCTGCACTGAATAGATTTAAATAGTATTTGCATATCACAAAATGACACCAGTTTGCTGAAACTCAGATGGCTTGCATATTATTTAGGGTCCATCTGCCTGTGCAATTGTGCACCAGTAGCTGCCAGTGAAGCTTAAGGAGGGAAGAAAGAGAAGGGGGTGGGGGGCGAGGGAGGACTGGAAGCAGGAGGGGAGGAGAGAGGGTGGAGTGTGTGCGGAAGACAGCAGAAAAGCACCGAGGATTGTCAATATGGCCCCTCCAGGCAGCGTACTCTCAAAGCTAGCTTCTGTCCATCCCTTCATCACACACTTGACATATTGTAGAACTTTCTGGGGCTGTTCCCTGAAGCCTTTCGTTGCTGTAACTGTTGTAAATGAACTTTTAAAAAATGCATGAGTGTTTGACGAGTGCTGGGCTGAGAGGATAGAGGTAGGAGTGGGGGAGATGTGTGCAGAAGACAGGCACCCCGGGGCTCAGGAGAGGGGCAGCGGGAGGGGTTGTGGAGGGGAGGGCTTGTTAACTAATCCTTAACCGTAGCGACAGGGGAAAAAAACAACAAAAGCAAGACGACTGAGATAAAAAAGGGACTCCTGCGTCTCACCTGGGCCTCGTCAGTGTATTCAGTGCTCATGACCCTACTCCAGCCTAAAACATGCACACCGATCTCTGCTCTCACCTCGCCTTTCCCAAGAGCACAGCCCCACTTCCGCGCAGAAAGCTCTCGAGTCAAACACTTACCAAACAAAGAGCAGAAGAGCAAAAAGAGAGAAGCCTCCTTTCTGTCCTCCGTGATGCCTGCTGACTGAGCAGCTGAGCTTTGCAGTCTTTTATTCCACTGCTACAGAGGGACACACCTCTGAAGCTCCTGGGTCTTGGAACCCAGACTGCGGTTTTGTGCTGATCGGCCTTTCTTTAAGGATCCCTTTTTTTTTCAGTGGTGGCACAGAGAATTGCTTACTGGCGAGGTGAATTCTTTGCATACAGGTCTCACAGCAGCGCCAAGCTTGTCAGCCTCGCATACCAGTTGCCCTGGGGTCAGGTCATGGTGTGAATTCGTCTGGGGAGGGGCTTCATCCCAGACAGGAGAATCCCTCCCTGCTGAGCTGGTGTGTGTGTGTGGGAGGGGGGTTAGTAATTCCACAAAATAAAGGACAGAAGAATGGATTGATTTACAGGCTGTTTTGGGGGATGGAAGGGTGGGGATGAAGGTCATGTGAAGATATTTATCTGACTTATTTATGGGCATATTAACACCCGTTTAAGGTGGGGGTGCCAGTTCCCGAACAGCCGCGCTCTCGAACTGTGCAGGACTGGGACCCCTTTATCGCAAGGGCTTTATTAATTGAAAGCCTTGATATTAGTCCCACTAAAGTCTGAGGAGCTCGTTTGTGAGCGTGTTTATCAAATCGTTTTGCTGAGATGGCTAAACGTGGGCTTTACCATCCTCTTTGATCTTTCTGAAATTCGCATTTCTTTCACTGGCTAAGAGATCTTTGAATAAGGAGAGTTAATTACACATTGTATGCGTCCCCATCTCCCTCTTTCTCTGCCTCTTTCATGCTCAGCCACACACTGAGAATGAAAGAATCTGCAGCAAGGCTCGAACCCCATTAATTGCTGCTCAGGCCCTGAGTGAGTATTGATTTGGAGAGCTATCATGGGGAGAGTAATGGCTTTCTGACTCGGAGGGGATTACACCACTAATTGCTGTTGGCCTTGCACTGACAAGATATGCTTCCGCAGATTTCAGTTCTGATCACTCCCGCCACCTTGTTTCTGAGCATCTTGACGTCTCTCCTCTCTTCGAGGGGAGAGACTGAGCTCTAGGAATCTCGGAGGCGGATATTAGGGTGTCCGCCTCCTCTGTCGGCCCTCCCACGGTGACTGAAAAGCAGTTAGAAAAAGTCTTGGTCCCGCCGTGTGTCTTTTTCACAACTTATCTTAAAGCATCATTTTTTTGTTTCTGTTTTCAGGTTTCAGTGTGAGAAAAAAGACGACTTGTGTTTTTTAAAAGAATGTTTTTTTACAGCAGCTCAGGGAACTGATCTTTGTAGGTGTGAGTGCCATTGATGAGCAATCATTAACCCGTTTCTTTTAATTAAACCTGAAGCTCCATCACAAGAAGCCTTTTTATAGGACCCCTGCTCTCCCTTCTCAGACTTAAAAAACAATCTATAAATATTAAAGTGAGAAGGAATCTGATCTCTTTGCAGAAATGTAAATCTGTCTGGTCTTACCTAGAAGGTAAAAGATGTTCAGTAAGGAAGCCTAAACAACTCACGCTGGTCCTCACGGCTCATCTGTTAGGCAGGCGTAATCTACACATTCTCCATCCTCCTGAAAAAGGCTCCATAGCTGAACTGCCTTTTCTTTTCACTTTTCAGCCTGGAGTTAACCTCTACCTGTACCTTTGCTGCCCGCAGGCTGTCCCAGCTCCCTCAATCTTATCCTCAAGTGTTATATACTACATAAATCAAGAATGACGTCTTTTAAGGTTTGAGCCTGGCTGCTTTTGTTGAAATGTTGTAATTTTCTTAGAGTAAACTGCTTATCATAGCTTGCATTTACTCGAGAAAAAGCATTCCATTCTTATCATTGCTTGAGTGAAACTGACCTTTTTTTCTGAAAAGGCCTCAAATTGAAACATGACTAAAGAAGGAAAAGTCTTATTTTTTCAGAACCCACTTGAGGAACACCGAGATTGTCTGCACTTTGAATTTGTGTGCCAAGGCAGCAGGACTGTTTAGCACTATTGCTTCATAGCTCAGGGCCCTGGGTTCGATTCCAGTTTAGAGTGCTTGTATGTGTAGTGTTTACGTGAATGGGTTGTGAAGCTTCCTCCCACCTGCCCCACATGAAGCAATTTTGGATTATTTGTCTCGATTTCCTTTCAGATGGGCGTTTGTTCTCAATACTGGCTGCTTAACACCATCACAGGAGCCACTGGGCATCTTAGGCCAACGAGCCACTTTTCCTTTGTAATCATCTTCTGCAGAAAGGTTACTGTGATGCTGTGACCCTTCAAGCCCTTCCTTTTTGTAATCCATACTGTTTTGTTCTGCAGTCAGTGTCACACTTGATTTGTCCATTGATACATGTACATTCAAATCTAGCCTTCAGTGTCCTCCACATAAGAGGCTTGAATAACTTTTGGCGGTGTGCGTCTCTTTAGAACTGAGGTTCTCCAGGGCATCTGGGCTAAGCAAGGAGTGTGTATATTGACTACTAAAAACTGACTTCACACTTTTCATTTTTGTTGGTAATTTCTTCCAGCTGTTAGGGTGGTGGAGGGAGGGTTATCAGAGGTCACAAGCAGCAGTGTATATAAAAAAATGTTTACCACCTGTTCTGGAGCGAGTTGCTGAATTTGTTTAACACAGACAGCGGGAAGGAGGAACTAACTCTCTCCTGGCTCTTTTCTGGTCTTGCGCTCCAAACGTATGAACTGTGCTACTAGAGTTCAGTAAAGGGCTCATTCAACTGGGGTTTATTATTCTAAATATAAAATAAAATATAAAAGTAAGTTATTAAAAATTTCAGCGTGGGGGTTTTGCATTTATTTGCATTTGCACTAGACACATTTTCTAGTGTCTAGTGTGTTTTGTAAAAAACATTTAAAGGCACACACTTGAAGTACTCTAGCACTGCAGCTGTTTCATTTATTTATTAAGGCTTAATAAAGGAATGTCCAGCTTTCCTTACACTTTAATGACAACCATAATGGCAGAAGAGGCATTTTAATAAGAGGCCATGTTGGAGCAGTAATTCCATGACCCTTCAGGATGACTGTCTGGGCCTGGTGTGCTTAAGCCTACTTTACAGCACGCACACAAGTTAATTGCATTAACTGTGGGAGCATGAACGCTCTTTAAGGGTCTGACCCAGTCTGCATCTTCTAATTGCCTCTTGGACAGATACCACAGTAATTGCTACATTCCTGGGGTGGTGCTACCGTGTGAGAAGTTGTTTAAAGGTGACCCGTGTTTCCATTTAGTCAGAGAACTGCTGTTCCTCAGCAGTGAGCGCGTCTGAAACCGAGCCATGATGTGGTCCGTGTGACCAAACGCTGACCCACCGTTAACCTTTTCCCTGCTCTGCAGGGTTCCCATTGGAGATAATGGAGACACTCGAGTTTCTCGGGAGCAGACGGTTTTCTGAGCCTGGCTTGCGAGGAGCAGGCTTGTTCATTGGTTAACTTGGCTGGGAGTGATGGTGACACTGTCACTGGAGTGGGGAGCTGTCTGCTGGAATAGGGCTGAGGTACGCTGGTTCTGTTCAGTTTGTGATGTGGGAGTGAAGGAGACGGTGTTCCCACTCAGTTGAAGATCTGTGTCACTTCACTGTCTCCACCCACCAACTGCACTCTGCATCCTTATAAAACGATCTTAAAGATGTCAAATTCTATATTGAGCAACCTAGACACTTCAGTCTCCATTGCTTCATATGCACTTAAGCTTTTAAATACCATAGCTCTTACTGTTCAGCTTTTTAAATCTAATTAATTATTTGGCTCTTCTTACTGTAATTATTCATTAACATCTGTAAATGTTTAATACATACGGTGTGTTTCTTTTTCCCCGTGATGAACAAAAAAAGGTTACAAACGAGTGGAGGCTAATTAGTCCATGTAGAACAAATTTTTTAGGTATGTCTTTTACTTGTATAAAAACGAATATTCAGATCCAGGACTTTTGTTTCTTCATTGTCTTACCTGTCTTTGTTTTTCAGTGAACTGCATGAATGTGGTTCAGTAGCAGGAAGTAGCCCACACAGCTCAGGGCTGTTTCTGCAGGACATAGGTTTGCCCTTCAAAATACTAGTCTCTGGTACTAGTGGGGAAAAACCCTATCCTGCACTGTCTGTAGATGTAGCTGCTTAAAAACGTGCTGTTTAAACAATAAGTTGTAGTGGAAACTGATTTGCCGTGGAGAGGATTGTTACCTTTTTGAAACGGAGAAAGCATGTTTTGTTGAACCCATGCAGTTGCATCAAGCCCAGTTTCCTATCTGGCTCTGGTTCCTTCAGGGCATACTGACTGGAGACGCAGGGTATCTGTAACACCTGAAGCTTCCCACAGAGGCCTGCTGCCTTAACCTTTGCGTATGAAGTCTGATGGTTCCCTTCGAACGTGTGTGTGCATGCAGGCTTTCTTCTTTGGAGACTTTGAATATTGTTCCATGAACGCCTCATTGAAAAAAGAAGCACACACCACGCGCTTCCACAAAGCCAACTTTGATCACGGTGATGAGAAATGAAAATCCGAAAATAAAGAAACTGCCTTTATCCAGGAGAAAATGTGTGGAGATGTGTGCGTTATTGTTTTCGAAGGGACGATCTGTTTTTCAGGTTCACTTGAAAATTTACATCATAAATGATTTTTTATGCATTAATCTTGTATTAAGAATAATTCTGATGATGCCGCAGTCTGTCTGATCTTTTTTTCTTCTGCTTCCTACAGGTTCGTCAATTAGCAGTGAGTCTTCCCCAGTCTCGTCTCCAGCGACCAATCACAGCTCTCCAGTCAGCACGCCCAAGCGGGGCCCCATGGCTCCAATTATAGTGCCACCGGGAAGCCACAGTGTGCCAAGTACCCCGCCTGTGGTCACCATCGCCCCTACGAAAACCGTCAACGGCCTGTGGAGGAGCGAGAGCCGGCAGGTGAGTCCAAAGCGCCCCGCCTCATGAATCCCTGCACCCCAACAAGCTCTCCTCTACCCCTGCGTGGCTGCCAGCCGCCACTGACATCCACACAGGAAAAGAGTAAATCTCTGGACAACAAAAGGCAAGTGTTGGTAACACAGTTTGCCTGGACTGCTGACAAGCACTTCCATGTCTTTTTTTTCTTCAGTGAAGAACACTGGTCTCATACAGCGATTAGATGAATGTGCATCATAAAATTGGATGAAAGAGACAATTTAGCAGTCCACTTTCAATTTCCAAATATTTCCTACAGGACTAAGGGCCTTTTATTTTCCTTTTCCTCTGAGCTAAGAGGGAGCCATGCTCCTGATAATGAGTTATTGCACCTCACTGGAAGTATTGTGTGTGAATTAGGTTTCTTTTTGTAGTGCATGGACAGGCCTCATTAATACTGTGAAAACATCCCCAGTTTGACACGCACCCCTTGAGGGCTGAAGTCAGCTGCATCACTGACACAGCTGTGGGAGAGGACGCCCTCAGCTTTCTCTTTACATTTCTCTGTTGCATGTTGCGTATTCACATATTGTAATTATGTACATATTCCCTAGTGCTGTTACACCAAACCTTAAATCTCACTTCTCCAATCATGACAGCACGTCTCTGTGGGGTCAAGAGCCAATTTTAAGAGTGATGTATTTCTTGCTTCTTATTGTAAAGCAAAAGAGAACGACGGGGTTTAAGAGAGTTTCAGTCTTTATTTTGCATGTAGTCAGTTGAGTAAGGGGCCACCGGTTTAGCAATTACTCCATCGGTCACGGTATATGATTGCTTGTGAATATTCTTATTTATATGGTTCACTAATTAAAGGTTTGCAGAATTCACACTCTGTATTGACCCTAATGTGTACCTTGGTCCTTTTTGCGGCAGGAGTATAAAAACCCTCAGGTCTCCTGTGAGAAGAGCTGGGTTATGTGGCTACACTAATCCATTTTACTGTTTTTCAGCCATTAATGGGTAGAGTTGTCTGAGCCAGAGCATATTGACCTTTCCTGAGAGGACGGAGCTCTGCTAGGCTGCCATCAGGGGAGGACCGGGGGGCTCCTCTCCATGGTACCTCCCCTGGCATTGTCCCACTGCTCTCCACTCTGACCTTTCACCTTCCACTGGCCCCATCCCATTATCTGAGCCCTCAGGAAGAGGGCAGGGGTCATCCATCTCCCTTATAGACGGAGTCAGCGAGAGGTCTGTCTCCCCGTGAAACAAAACAAACTCCTCTCCTCCCCTTAACCAAAAAAAGTCAACAGATGTTACAGCTCCCATCAAAATCCCTGATTTCCTTTGATTAATTACTGCAGGCAGTTCCTCTAAAGAGATTATCAAGTTCTGAGTCTTGCAGTCTGGCGCATGTTGATTGTTTTTTGTCCTGTGATGTGTCTCTGCTGAGCCTGGTCTTTCTGGTTTATCATGAAGTAAAATACAGAGCGAGATAGGAGGCTGGTTAATGGAGATGATCACCCTGTCAGTTACGAGTAAGACTCACCAAGCTCGTTTGCAAATGTTTGCAGAAAAGCTCAGTGCTGAGTTGCTGTAGCTTTTGCCCCAGGGCACTTGCAGGAGAGCAGGAACCAGGCTGTTAGGACTCGGACTGTCACGCTCTGCAGTGTGAGACAGCACTGAGGAGCTCTTCGGTTCTCTGGAGATGGATTAGTTCCAATGCAGTAAATAAAAAACCGTGTCGGTTTATTAGACTTGTTTATTCAGCGAGCCCCAGCAAGCTCATTTAACTTCACAGTCATAAGCACCAGCAGAAATACAAAAGGTTTCACAATGAACAGTTCTTTTCCTTTTGAACCGGCCCCTTTCTGACAGGAACAAAGGCACCTCTGTTTGGCCCTAGTTTTACTTTTAATCAGTGGTGGTGGTGGGGACTCCGTTGCCCAAGTGTGAGGAAGAGTTCATCCCCACTGCTGTCATTTCAATTAGTCTTTAACGTGTGGCATTCTTGTCTTTCTTAATACTGACGTATCCAGATCCTCTGAGCTCCGCTTCAATCAGTATGCATGAGGCTGTGCGATTCAATAAATGTTAGAAGTGAAGAAAGCTTCTAGGCTCCTTTGATACTAATATGCACAGACGGTCATTTACTCTGTGGAACACCTTCTTCTTTATTCAGTTAGTTTATGTTTTCATCTCTGAGGCCTCTTGGCTGAAATATTACCAGAGATGCACCTCTTAGCCCCACCAGCGTGAAAGGCACTGGAGGAAGGGATTTGTTGTATTCTGCTTTAATGACCGTGGGTGTCTGGTGTTTTCCTGAAGCAACTTGTAATTGCGTTTTAATTGAGAACTACATTTATTGCTCAATCAGAAACACATTTTAGGAGATTATGATTCCCCACAAGCCTTGTAAAGCCTGCAGTGTGGAAGAGGATGTTTTAGGACTGTGGGATATGCTGGCCCTTGAATTTCCAGATTTTCTTGCTCCTTTCTAAAGGGAGGGGCAGAGAGCAGGGTGGAGGTTCAGGGCACAGACGCCATGCCTGTGCTGCTTGCACATAAAGGTCAAAGGTCGGGGGGGTGGCCACACTGGCAGCACTCCCCCCCTTGTGTTTGCCACAGTAACAGTAAAGTCCTTAGTAGAGTCCTTTATCATCATTAGAAAGCCCAGTGCAGTCATTTGAATCTGCTTTTAATGCAAAAAGGAATATTCAAATGTAAATGATTTGAATAACACCGCCAAGGGTGAAGCAGCAGACACTGTTTTGCTTAAATACAATTTGTGTGCGGTGAGAATATTTTTTTAATATATTTTCCCTGAGCTCTCACTGGGTTAAAAGCTACAGAATGGCAGTGTTCACACTTCTGACCATTACAGTTTACAGTGATTCGTTAGTCTGAAAAGAATGTTACATCTTTAGATTTTTATAAGAATGTGCCCTCAGATATCATCAGTATGAGATTTGTTTTTCCTCGCAGTGTGTGAGTAAGTATAGTTTTAAAATGTTCCAGGTCGTTTATGTATGACAAGATCAGTGAATGCTTCCTGTATTGTCTAGTTACAGTATTAGTCTGTACTTCAGGTTCTTTTCTCAGTGGAACTTTTCACTTCCGCTAACTTTAGCTTAAAAATCTCAAATGAAACAAGATTCAGTCGTGGCTTTTCATACGCTCGAAACAACAGGATCCTTCTTCCCTTTTAATGTTTACATGAAAAAATACCTACTAGCAGTGAAATCTACATATCAAACAGTGCACAAGTAGGGTGTAGGATATTTAAAATTGTACTAATGAAAAGAACTTCTCTTTTAAAATCAATCTTGTTGTAGTGTTTTTGTGTTTTTAAAGAAAGGCCAGAAAATGTCTAAATAACGAGAAACTAAAATAATTTTGCCAGACGAAGAGAAACACCAGATCATACAGTATACATGTTTCCCCAGCAGAGTAAAATGAGCATGCTTCTGACACAGGGCTTCAGTTTCAGTTGATGGTGCAAGTGTGATAACAGCTTGTTTATTAAATATTTCCCATGGCTCTGATAGAGGCAGTGATAGTTTTTCACAATATACAGATCTCCTGTGGGCAGGCTGTGCGGGGCAGGTATCATAGGTATATCTGTACGTTCTAGTCTCTTGTTTGTACATGATGTCCAAGTTTATTGTATCAAACAAGTTTTGATCATGTATTTAGCGGTGGGCTTGTGTGCAGTGTGCACAATGTGTAAACATTGAAATGAGGCTCTGAGCTTTCACAGTAAGACCCCTTTGCAGAAATGTTTATTTTAACCTGCAGCTTTCAATTGCTATGTTGGTTCACGATTTGCCATTGGAGAGCCATTCTGCTCAAGAACTGAGAGGCAGCCAGGCCTTGAGCGCTGGGACTTTAAACCCCAGCCCTCAAGATTATTCCACCTATTACATCGTCTGAAGGGAGGAACAGACACATTAATTAATCTTGTCACTCTGTGACATGGCAATTAAAGAATTAGCCCACCTTGGTAGTCTCATAATAATTGAATCATTACGCAATAACTGCTTAGACCCTGTAAAAAGTCAAAGAATGCCTTTTTCCATTTAACATATGTTAATGAAAGCTAGCTTCCAATTCGCTGCCATTTCATACTACATAAATGAAAAGGTATTGTATCTTAAACTCCAAAAGCTCTTTCTGAAAGTTGTCAGTCCCGTATAGATATTGTTTTGTGTACCGGGAGGGTATTTGAGTGACGCTGCAATCCTTCTTCAGTCCCTTTTAATACATCTTGATGGTGAGGATAGTGAAATGTCAGTAGGCACATAGTAAATAAAGAGTGCAGCTTAATAACAAGGATTGTACCGTGCAGAAAGCTTGGATTCCTTACTAGATGGATCAATCAATGCTTCAGCGCAGAAGAAAAAAAAAAAAGAGGCATTTCAAGTTCTTAAGCTTGATCTCTGATTTTGACTTCTTTTGACATTTCTGAGCCACTTTTCTGCTTCAGTGAACATTTAGGGTTCTGCTGAGAGGCCCTGCCCCCCAGAAGCGCTCAGAAAGCCATTAGAAGACTTTAGCCTTTTTAAGGGGACCTGGGAGATGGTGTGTGTTGGGGTGGGGGGGCGAGCGAGAGCAGAGATGGCTCGCTGCCAAGTGAAGCGCATTAAAAAAACAAGGCGCGAGCAACATGCTGCCTCAGAAAAACATTACTGGCATTTAATATTACATGTTAGCGCAGCGGAGTCAGGACGGGTCAGCGGCTCACAGCATGGGAGAGGAGCTGGCCGAGGGGGAGTGATGGCTCACAAAATGGGATTTTCTTTCTCATTGAAAGCGGTGGGAATGGCACAGGCACGCGAAAATAAAGGCCCCGGTCCCATGGAGACCGGAGGTCAGTTTTAACCCCCTCCGCGGCTCCTTCATGCCCCCTGTTCCGATGCGCGGGGGGGCGTGGCCGGGCTGGTTTCCGCACTGATGGGATTTTCTGGGCCGGTTGCTTGTGAGCAGTGAGCAGGGGGAGTGGCTGTGACTTCACGTTCGCCCCCCCCAGGCAGCTGCTGCTGCTTTCTTCTGCTGCCCGTGTGTGGGTCTGCGTGGGCCGCGTTACGCCGTGAGACGTTTTCAGTCCTTTACGTTCGTGCTCAGTTTCAGAAGCTCATGAGCATGTCCTTGTTGTCCACCAGCTGGACAAGGGCTCCACTGCTGAAGCTGAGGAGTGTGCTCTACTGCCCAGTGAACACTCTTCTCTTGACACCACTACCCCGTAAGATTGACAAAGTTTCATCTTGAGAAAAAATGTTTCTCCACAACGCTGGGAGGGTCCTCTGGGATACCACTAGCCCTGGTGAAGTTGCTGAAAAGTCTGACTGCATCTTCCTGCAAGCAAGCAAGTCGCTTCATGCAGCTTCACTATTTTTGCATTTCCATTCCTCTCAGTGAATTTGCTTGTGCTGTTTTAAATATGTAAAGGAGAGGGTTAACTCCTTCATCTCCATGGGCCTGTGTGCTGTTTTTTTTTCCATCGTCGATAATAGCTCCCTCCCCAGCGGCTCACTTAAAGATTGCAGGCTGAGGCACGGTTTGAAGGTGAAAGTCACCTCTGTGCCTTCCAAGATGAGTACTGAACAATGTCAGTGGTGTACTGGGGCTGAAGGGTCGATGGTGGCAATGTGCACGTGCTCTGGTGCCATGGGGTCATGCCATGCCCGATCTACAGGACAGTCTGAAGGACTCTGCTCCCGTTCCAATCGCAGGCCGAGTCCGGGCCGCGCGGAGTCAGCCGGGAATCCGCCCTGCCGCAGGAGAAGGGAGGCCCCTCCGTGCCAGCGCACCTCATCGGGAACCCTTACGCCTTCGGCCTCGCCCCCGGCTCTGTGGTGCAGGATTCCCGATTCCAGCCGCTGACGTGAGTACACCTGGGCGCCTGTCCATCCCGGAGTCGCTGGCCCTGGCATGAAAGATTTCTATTTGTTTTTTTTATTTCATTCTAATAAATGTCTTGTAATGGATTGTTTGAAATTTTTTCACTAGCCTGGGTGCTTAAAACACTGTCTTGTGCGCCTGTGCTCCAGGAATAGGCTCCAGGGATATTTCATCAAGTCCTGTGCACCAGGTGTTTACTGATATTTGAACTGCAGAACCTTGCCTTGGAGGGAGAGGTGAAGCAGCATTTCAGTGCAGTATGAATATTTACACAAAGATAAGGCTTGTTTTTAAAACGAGGGTTTTTGCAGGCTCATTTTTTAGGCTTAGGTACTGAATGCAGTGGTTTCGCTGGCAGACTCTCAAAGTATTAGCTAGCCAGTTGCTGCAGGAGAGCTCTGCCCATCTGCGAGTGTGTCCTACTGTGCTGTTATGTGGCGTTGGGCCCCGTAGCATCATGCTGCGTTAGTCTGTGTCTTGTCATGTTGTGCTGTGCTGGGCCGTGTCCTGTCCTGCAGTGTCCTGCTGGGCCGTGTCCTGTCCTGCAGTGTCCTGCT